GGGTGGAGGGTTTAGTGATGGTTTTTGGGGTTAGGGGTTGATCAAGCATCATTGCAGACAAACTAAAGGAACACTACTTTACATTGGCTTGGGGCCACAGGCTTACGCTGGAAGGCTTGTGGTTGTCAGGCTGCGGGTTTGAGGTATAAGCATTTAGGTTATAGTGGTTATGGGCACTGCGGCTTTGATTGTCCCCTAAGTAGAAGCCGAGGCAGCTTGTTCGTCTTTTTGTGGGGGGGGGGGGGGGGNNCGGGAGTTTTTTCCCTCTCGCATGACATGAGGGGGAGGGAGTTTGGGAGCCAGGGTTCAGGTTTCAAGGTGACGGTTAGGGCTTAGGGTTTCTGGAAGTGTGTTCAGACCTCAGGCTTCGGGCTCTAAGAGCTTTTGTTTTGTTTTAGGGTTTGTAGGGTTTCTAGCATGTTTCGGGTTTGTAGGGGTTGTAGGGTGTTAGGGCTTTTAGGGGGTTTTGAAGGGTCTTTAGGGTTTTTAAAGCTTTTAGGGTTTTTGGGGTTTTAGGGCTTTTAGGGTTTGTAGGGTTTTAAGGCTTTTAGGGTTTAGGTCTGTTTGAAAAGCGATGGCACTTCAATTGCCCCCCAATTCGATTCTGTCCAGAGACATGTGTCTCATAGGTATAGATATAGCACGGAGCCGCTCAGCAAATGCAGCGGGCGCAGCCTCGCGTGAACCAGTTTGTGAAGAATGAAACCTCTTCAATTTAAGCACCACAACGCCAGACCAACCCCACATCAATCGTAGCCTCATGCAAGACCCCTAAACCAAACGCCAAAAACACCCAAACCCCGAACCACCGACCTCATCTGCCCATCCCTCACCAAACCTAAAAACTCTGAAAACGACCTACCCTAAACCCTAAACCTAAACCCTGAACCCGATACCCGTAAAGTCCCTAAAGCCCTGTTTGCCTACTTTTGTTAAAGCACCGTCAACCCGAAACCCCAAACCCTGAACCCTATACCCCTTTCGTTAATGAACCCTAACCCGGAAATCCTAAACCACGAGGCTCTGCAGGATTCGATACAATACTGGGGCCTCAACACTTTGACTCGTGCATTGGGGTATATTACAGTATATTATTGTACTAAGAACTATGATAAGGAACCCCCGAAACGGTACTGGTAATTTAGGCCCCTATAATAAGGTTTTTGGCCATGTTCTGGTACAGCAACAAAGAGACTGTACCGGGACATGGCGGCCAAGTGTTGAGACCTCCCTTAACGCACTTGTTGTAGTCCCTTATGATAAGCTCAATCAAACACAGGTCAAGGTGTACTTTTGACTTACCATAACCTATTGTTTTGCAGCATTGCAGGGTTCCTTAGATTCTGTCAGGGTTCAGAATCAGAACCTACATGAACCTACGAACAAACACATTGGTTATGATAAGCCCTAAGGCTGAGAAGGCAGTTTTCATGATGATGAATCTGGAACCTTGAAGTCTTCTATTGTTAACTGTTTCCATGAAGGATTTATGGTTTTGGGTTGAGTGTTTAGGGCAGCACTGATTCCAATGCTGCATGAAGGTCGCCCACGACCCAGAGAATATAACCTCCCCCTAGCCTAACGTAAGTTCCAAAGCGGTCCGTTCGAAGGGACCTAAACTAATATAAGGGCCTGGGTAGTTTTAGTAATGGCTGCGGGGCATGTTGTATCAAATTTGTGATGGGCTATACTGGGGCATCTATTTGTGTAAGGAGGGCTTTTTTTCAGCCACCAACAGTAAGAACATCCAAGCTAAAACACAGGGGGCTTGCATACTTGCATATAGACATGCTATTCCTTTGCCGCCCCTGAATGAATCATGTTCGAGCGTACCCCGAAATCTCAGTCTGTGTCTTTTGGCCCTAGAACAAGACTGACACTCCTATACGACCCACGACACAACCCTCCCAAACACCAAATTCGCACCTAAACCCTAAGCCGCAAACCCTGAACCCCAAACCATAAGCC